AAGCGATTTGTTCTACGTCTCCTGTCTTGTAATGAACATGAAATGGGGGTTTAACGTCCTACTGTTCTGATCCGACTGGGCTAATGAAGACAGGCACGCACCATGCAGTGTGCTATGAGAGAAAATTTGCTTGGGCAGCGGCGCTACAGTCGACTTCTATTTCTAATTGCAACTGTCAGGGGGTCTTTAAGTGCACGACAATGTGTACACGGGGCTACGATTTTCATCCATCTGAACGACTAGACGAACGGGAAACGTTCTCGGACAACACTTGGAGCGAACCCGGGGCCTCTTTGTTGGATGGCCGAATGATTACCGCGCGCTGTATTATAAGGTCTGTCATTGAGTCAACTGGCGTGGTTTCGATTCCCCGGTTGTACGTGACAAGGAGTAGGGTCGCCTGTCCAACCTCGTGTATTTCCTCTGTGTCTTCCGGTTTCCGCACAAGCGAATTATTGAAATAAAATTGAACCATATTTTAGTCCCGAGATGACCTAGGTCGTGTCGAGTGGACGTTACCCCCACCCCTCTCTCTCTCTCTCGCTCTCTCTCTCTCCCTCTCTCTCTCTCTCCTTGTTAGCAACATACTGAACGGATCGCGCCTTCAGTCAATAAACAACCGTTACGTAATTGCTCGACAAATCGAGTCTCTCTACCATCAAGTTCATCGATCATTGATTCCAGTAAATGGGATTATACTAGATAAACAAATATGTTTGTGAACGATTTGGCCCACACCGTGCGTCTAATAAACCCTAGAAACCGTTTCACCCGATTACCCCTTTAAGAGTATATCTGTCGATATGGTTAAACTTGATGTATGAAGAAATGTATTTTGCAAGCTCCACAAGACAGACACGGTATTATTTTATTGATGTTTAAGTAAAAGCCCTAACAGGATGTGATCGCTTAATGTACTGGATGATTTGTTTATCTAATGTAAACATTAGTAAAATAAATAATAATTATATTCCGGAACTAATTCAATTAAAACAGGTTATTAAAGCTATCAGATGTTTTAGAATACGTCATGTTCTTCTAACGATGATTTGTTTCAGGAGTCAGAGAGAGAGAGAGAGAGAGAGAGAGAGAAACTAGGTCATTTCGGGACTAACATATGGTTTAATTTTATTTCAATAATTCGCTTGGTCGTAGGGGTCTTTAGCAGTGGGGGCAAACCGGAGGACCCGGAGAAAGCCCACGGGGTTGGACAGGCGACCCTACTCCTTGTCACGTACAACCGGGGATTCGAAACCACGCCAGTTGACTCAATGGCAGGCCTTATGATACAGCGCGCACGTGCTAACCATTAGCCCCCCCCCCTCAATGAGTAAGACGATGGCTTGCTATCCCGAAGACCCCGTGTTCGATCTCCGCATTGGGCGAAAAAATTCATCTAGATTTTCCGGCGTGGTTCTCCCTTGTCAGTGGTTAAGGACGGAGAGCCTGTGGTTCGGATATCACGATAAAACGAGGTACCGTGTACGTATTGATGTGCACGTAAAAGAACCCTTGACAGTAGAAATTCAAAATAAGAATAATCGGCAGCGCCGCTGTCCGGGTAAAATTCCCCACATAGCACACTGCATGGCGTATGACCGTCTTCATTAGCCCAATAGGAGTAGAACAATAGGACAATAAACCCCATTTCTTTAACAATTTTTAACGAATTCATTACTCGTATTGATGCAATATTTTAATAGGGTTTTTAATGTTGTATAGTTCAGGGACCGATCATGACGTCATCGTGTGTGGTTTCGATTCCCCGGTTGTACGTGATAAGGAGTAGGGTTGCCTGTCCAACCTCGTGGGTTTTCTCCGGGTCCTCCGGTTTCCTCCCACAGCTAGAAACCCCTACGCGCTTGCGAACTATTGAAATAAAATTAAACCATATGTTAGTCCCGAAATGACCTAGTTTGTGTCGAGTGGACGTTAAACTCTCTCTCTCCCCCTCCCCCTCTCTCTCTCTCTCTCTCCCCATCCCCTCTCTCTCTCTCTCTCCCTGATACAGTAGTATATAAACGTTTATTCAACGATGCTGATCTATAAGTATAGCTGATAGACCCTATCCACGACGAAATCTGGTGGTTTTATTGAGTAAAGCCTTGGTATAATAATAAACAGTTTAATCTAGAGATCTGTGTCATGTCAGAATTTATTTTCTTATCAGCTTCTGTTACATCCAGAGATATACAAGATAAATACCATACGTCTCCTGTCTTAAACACATATATATCTCAACTCTCTTCTTGTACTCGTGAGAGACAGAGAGGGGGGAAGAGAGGGAGAGAGAGGGGGAGAGAGACAGATAGGGGGAGAGAGAGAGAGAGGGGGAGAGAGAGAGGAGAGAGAGGGGGAGAGAGGGGGAGAGAGAGGGAGGGGAGAAAGAGGGGGAGAGAGAGAGGGGGAGAGAGGGGGGAGAGAGAGGGAGGGGAGAGAGAGGGGGAGAGAGAGAGGGGAGAGAGAGGGGGAGAGAGGGGAGAGAAAGGGGGAGAGAGAGAGAGGGAGAGAGAGGGGGAGAGAGAGGGGAGAGAGAGGGAGGGAGAGAGAGGGGGAGAGAGAGGGGGAGAGAGAGAGGGGGAGAGAGAGGGGCGAGAGAGGGAGAGAGAGGGAGGGAGAGAGAGAGGGAGAGAGAGAGGGGAGAGAGAGAGAGGGGGACAGAGGGGGAGAGAGAGGGAGGGGAGAGAGAGGGGAGAGAGAGGGGGAGCGAGAGGGGGAGAGAGAGAGATGGGTTTAACGTCCACTCAATACAGACGTAGGGTTCTTTAGCAGTGGGAGGAAACCGAAGGACCCGGAGAAAACCCACGAGGTTGGACACGCGAAACTACTCCTTGTCACGTACAACCAGGGAATCGCGAAACCACGCCACTTGACTCAATGACAGTCCTTATAATACAGCGCACACGCACTAACCGTTCGACCGTGCAGGGAGCCACGGTGGTTAGGTTAAGTGGGTAAGACGCTGGCCCGCTAGACTGGAGGTCGTGTGTTCGATACCTACATTGGCCGAGAAAGTTCATCAGGATTTGCCGGCGTGGTTTCCCCTTGTCAGTGGTGCAGGATACGGAGGACCTGACCAGGGCAGCTGTCTAGTCGTTCGATATTAGCAGTTGGAATTCGATATAAACGTAGGCCGTAGTGCCGCTGTCCGGGTAAAATTTCCCTCATGGCACACGATGTGGCGTATGTCCGTCTTCATTATCCGAATCGAATAGGACGTTAACCCCCATTTCATTTCATTTCCTGGCACAATTTCCCTCATAGCACACTGTATGGCGTATGCCCGTCTTCATTTGCCCAATCGGAGCAGAACAGTAGGACGTTAAACCCCATTTCATTTCAATTCCATTTCCAAATCGTGCTATCAATAAGTCATCATCAACTGTTCCTAAATTGGTGGTCACTGTTTCTTTCAACAGATGAAATTTTAAGTCATCATTTTTACAATGCAGACTTGACGGCCCGAACGGCTGTAAAACCAATTCTGCTTTTAGAATGTCATACGATCCTTGGGGATGATCACGATAGCTAGTAGACGACAAACACTGATAATTGATTGGATATACAATGTCGTCTGCTAAGCCGGAAACCAAATATGTATTTCTAGACAAGCCTCAACTGTCAGCCAATTGAAAGATTCTTAAAAATTCCAAATAAAAGATGCAGAATAAAAATGTAGAAATATTAAAATGTTTAGGAGGTTTTGTACACCAATCGTTTATGTCATCGTAAATGTATATCATTATGTATGTTTGAGAGGGGTAACGCCCACTCGACACAATTTAGGTCATTTTGTTGAGACTAACATATGGTTCAATTTTATTTCAATTATTCGCCTTTAACAGTGGGAGGAAACTGGAGGACCAAGAGAAAAAAAACACGATTTTAGACAGGCGACCCTACTCCTTGTCACGTACAACCGGGTAATCAAAACCACGCCATTTGACTCAATGGCAGACTTTATGATAGAACGCGCATGCGCTACCCGTTCGGCCATCCAACCCCCTATATGTGTTTGTTTGTTTCATCTACTTCCGGCGTGGTTCCCCCTTGTCAGTGGTGCAGGACGGAGGGCCTGACAAGGACAGCTGCCTAGTCCTTCGGATGAGACGAAAAACCGAGGTCCCGTGTATACATTAGAATGCACGTAAAAGATCCCTTGGCAGTTGGAATTCGATATAAGAGTAGGCGATAGTGCCGCTGCCCAGGCCAAATTTCCCTCATAGCACACTGTATGGCGTATGCCCGTCTTCATTAGCCCAGCATAGGAGCAGAACAGTAGGACGTTAAACCCCATTTCATTTCATTTCATTTCTGTTTCATCTACAGTTTGTTATTTATATACATAACCCATAAACATACTAATAATATAGACTGATAACGTCATCAGATCATTGACGTCACTGTCCGCCATATTGGATGAAGCAGTCTATATTTTTAGTATGTCTGTGACATAACCTTCTAAGATTTTTTTATGAAATAACATTTCTCCGTCTTCTATTACTGATGTAAAAGATCCCTTGACAGTTGGAATTTGAAATAAAGAGTATAAGCCGTAGAGACGCTGTCCGAGTGTGAAATAGCTTTATTTAACGTCCGCTTCCACCGAGGTGATATCGCAAAATATCCCTTTTATAGCACCCTGCCCGTCTTCATTAGCTCAGTCGGTGTAGAGAATTATGACGTCAAGCTCCCATCATTCCATTTTAATTCATATTACTAATGAAATTTTCTCTGTATATATTTTTTAAGGAATTGTGTAATAACTTTTATTATTCCTCTTCTATTGGCGTACACGTAAAAGATCCCTTGACAGTTGGAATTCGATATAAAAGTAGGCCGTAGTGCCGCTGTCCGGGCAAAATTTCCCTCATAGCACACTGTATGGTGTATGCCCGTCTTCATTGGCCCAGTTTGGAGCAGAACAGTAGGACGTTAAACCCAATTTCATTTCATTTTATTTCTATTACTAATGAAATTCTATGTTTTTATATTTCCAGGGAATTATGGATACAGGTTATAACCTCAGTAATATAGTCGACTGCAACAGTAGCAACCCCTCTTGCCATGATCCCGTGGATGGCGTGGAGGAAAAAGCGACAGAATTGTACATCGTCGTGGCCATCCTCACCCTCTTCAGCATCGTCGGCACCATCGGCAACGCAACCTCCTTTTACATCTACTTCAAGCGACGCGACAAGTCGACCTCAGTGATTTTCATTCTAGCTCTGGCCGGTACGGACTTCTTGACCTGCCTCGTGATTATTCCCTATACTATTATCTTTGAACTAGTCAACTATTACCTGTACTATGACATCCTGTGTAAATTATACATGTTCCTCATCACCTCCAATATACCTTTCTCGGCATTCATTATGACGGCCATAGCATTCGACAGGTATTTATGTATTTGTCACCCGTTTCTACACGCTTTGAATGTGACGAGAGCCAAAATTCTTGTGCTGTGCCTTGCTTTTTTGGCACTTACTTTTGGCATGATCACCGGTTTATCCTATGGTACTTATTCAAATTATTTCGGTCCAGAAGAAATGGAAGGTATGGTTTCACCGGATTTATTTTACAATACGACAGAATATGACGTAATGGATTACCCGGATGCCGTAGCCAACAACGAGACAAACGAAACAACAACAAACCGCGGGATTTATTTCCATGGTGATTGTGCTCTGAACAAATTAATTATAAGTGATGAGTTTTTAAACGCGTATCAGAAGGTTTATACCGGATGTTTTCTAGTTTCATTTGTGGCTGTCGTAATCTTGTATTGTATGATATACCACTCGATCCTCGCGCGAAGAGCTAAGAAAGCCAAAAGAAAGCGGAAGAAGTATTATACAAGTGTAGCAGGAACTGAACGGGAGGCCAACACAATGAATACCCTAACAACGACGGTCAATGGCAATTCGGGAGTGCCGGTCACAGATAAGGTTACCTCCCAAAAACCGGGTAAACGGCCAAGCACTGTCCGAGATACGACACTCTACGCTAACATAAAAACTGCTTTGATGTTGTTCGTGGTGACCATAGTTTTTACCATAGCTTTTCTGCCTTCTTGGTTGATGGCTCATCAGCTATTGCCGTTCAACATGATTGTATTCTACATGTATTTCTCTTATAACCTGGCTAATCCTATCATATACGCCTTTATGAATCAAACATTTCGAGAGGATTTAAAGAACATTGTTAAAATATGTAAATAGGTCAAAAAAAATAATAAGACTCTTTCGTTTTGTTTGTATTCTGCCCTTTGTGTAAATATCAGCAGTTTTTTTTCTCAATTTGGAATTTCCTTTCTCTTTTATTTCCATTTTCTCTTATTTGAATAAAAATCATTAAAATGTTCCAAATGTTTTTTAATTAAGAATGGCTAAAAACCACATCTATTGTCCGAAAAATGGCATATTAAACAGGCATTATGCAAGAGCTAAATCTGCTTATTGCAGATCTTTCTTTAGGCTTGAAATGTTATATAGATTACTAATTCGACATTAATTAACTTGCTAAGGCCATAATCTCCGATATTTAGAAGATTCTACAGTTGATAAATAACCGTAAAATGGATATTCGAGGCTTCGTTTATTAATTATCTGCACCGTGGTAGCAATGACAATCGAGGCTACAGTGTATATTGTATCGCCAATATCTCGGTCAAAAGTGAAATAATTTGAAATTTTCAACATATTCCCATTTCATTAACTATGTTTTAACTATTATCGCTCTTTATCTAAGCTTAGCTAATGATTTTCCGACGTGGTTTCCCCTTGTCAGTGATGCAGGACGGAACGCATGACAAGGACAGCTGTATAGTCGTTCGGATGGTACGAAAAAACCGAGGTCCCGTGTTCACATTGGCGTTCACATAAAAGATCCCTTAACATTTCCCTCATAGAACACTGTGTGACGTATGCCCCTCCACTTTAAAGGCCCTGTGTGTCAATTTCTCGGCCAACGCAAGTATCGAACACACGACCTCCACTCACTGACCCACTTTGGCGACTCTTTTTAACGTCTTATAAAAACGTCATATTTTAAGCCGCTGTGTGGATTTTGACGGAAATTATCAATTTGTAATGTTCTACGATTGATTATTTTACATTTAATTATACAAACAAAATCAAAATATCAACGCTAGATAATCTCCCGTTTTGAGTTCAACTGGATTAAACACACATTATGCAAGAGCTAAATCTGCAAATCCCAGATCTTTCTTTAGGCCTTAAATGTTATCTAAATTATTAATTAGACATGATTAACTCATCCAGACCATAATCAACTCTCGATTCCATCCCTAGCCTGCGATACTTACTGGATTATAATCCGATCTGTTGCTCAACGCTCATTCATGATTAAATCAAAACGTGGATAATCGAGACTATGTTTTTTATCGTACCGACTTAAGTAATGGTGATCGTGGATAGGCCCAAAATTCAATCAATGAATTCTCGGTTCAGCGTGGATCAATTTGACTGAAACTTTCAGCAAATTCCCATTACAGTCTCTAGTTTGTAACTATTATAGTGAGAACTGCCATCGTTTTTATCTAATCTCCCATAATGTACCTTTAAAAAGAGGCAAAATTCATGGAAGGCGTTGCCTTGTGTGTGATATAGCTTTTATTTTCGACGGCTTCCACCGAAGACAACCGTTGACTTGTGTTGACTTTATATCCTTATTTTTCGCCACAGTGGATACCAGAAATAATTTGGTCAAAACGGATATAACCCGTTAGTCAAAATAATTATTGCTTTTCACAATCTGGTTAAAATACAGATCTATATTTCGTTTCGTTTTTTTATACATTCGATGGCCTCAACTACATGTAGATCTGACCGTTTGTAGTGGAAGGTTGCCTCAGAGGTCATACGAGAAGCTTTTGACTCTATGACGCCAGACATTTGATTAACCAATCAGCATGGGTGTTTCTAGTGGGTTACCCACAGTTCAGTGCACCACACGCCAAAAACTCGTCATAACAAATCGTTTCATTGGCTAATCCCTCACATCAACCAGAACGCAAGTTATATAACAACTGGGGGGTTGGATGGCCGAATGGTTAGCACGTGCGCGCTGTATCATAAGACCTGTCATTGAGTCAACTTGCGTGGTTTCGAATCCCCAGTTGTACATGACAAGGAGTAGGGTCGCCTGTCCAACCTCGTGGGTTTTCTCCGGGTCCTCCGGTTTCCTCCCACTGCTAAAGACCCCTACGCGCTAGCGAATTATTGAAATTAAATTAAACCATATGTTAGTCCCGAAATGACCTAGTTTGTGTCGAGTGGACGTTAAACCCCAATCATCATTGATGTTACTAGTGGATTACCAAAAGATCCGTGCAAAACACGCCTAAATCTCGCCGTAACAGGTCGTGTCATTGGCTATTTCCTCACACCATTCAGAACACGCCAATGATAACAACTCTTCCAGATCCTAGTGTAGTAAAGACAATTATAAAAACGAAACGAAATAGGATCTGTGTTTTAATCAGATTGAAATATCATTCGATGGTTGGAATTCGATGAAGGGTAGGTTTAGACAATGGAAGTTAAACTCCATTTCTTCTTCACAAATTCTAGCTGGTTTAAATCAGCATACCAGTTGGGTTGTTGTTAATATCTAAAGAGTCATCATAAAATATATACAGACTGAGTGTCCCAAAAGTTTCCTGTCTCGCCATGATGAACGGATCACCCAATCACAACCAATCTGCATACTAAACTTCGGCTGTCTATCTACAGTTAGCTCCGCTTGAGAACAGACACTAAGCTAGTTGACCGACATTTTTTTAAGTACTAAATCGACGATTTTATTCGAAAACACTAAGTATACTTCGAGAATTTTGAGAAGTATTTATTCTGCTTCCATTTAATGGAATTGAATAGGTTTATTTAGTCCTTATGTGTATGACAGATGTGAAACGGAATAGAACCGCATTACATAACAATATACTAATATTTGGATATGGCGGCCATTTAGGGCAGAGATCTATTCTCGGGGAATGAAGTAGAGTGCAGAATGAGAGAGAGAGAGAGAGAGAGAAATGGGGTTTAACGTCCACTCGACACAAACTAGGTCATTTCAGGACTAACATATGGTTTAATTTTATTTACATAATTCGCTTGTGCGTAGGGGTCTTTAGCAGTGGGAGGAAACCGGAGGCCCCGGAGAAAACCCACGAGGTTGGACAGGCGACCCTACTCCTTGCCACGTACAAGAGTGCAGAATGAACCAATCTGTTCATGTTTCTAGAATGAATGAATGAAATGGGGTTTAACGTCCTACGGTTCTGCTCTGACTGGGCTAAGGAAGATGGGCATATGCCATACAGTGTTCTACGAGGGAAATTTTGCCCGGGCAGCGGCACTACGATCTACTCTTATACCAAATACCAACTGCCAAGGGATCTTTTACGTGCACGACAATGAATACACGGGATCTCGTTTATTCGTCCCATCCGAACGATTAGACAGCTGTCTTTGTCACGTCCCCTGTCCTGCACCACTGACAAGGGGAAACTTTCTCGGCCAATGCAGGATCGAACACGCGATCTCCAGATAGTATAAACTTGGCATTGAAAACATGAATACAACGTGCTTTAATTTCGATATATAGCCATCCAAAATGCTGGAGAAACGGTTGAAAAAATTGCGTGGGGGATATAGATCGCATATTACTTTTTGGACATACATCGTACATGCTTTAAGTTGCTGATTTGGGATTAAGCATAACAACCAGTAAGTACTAATAATAGATTTTTAAATTTTACCCTCGCCATTCTCATATGCTCGATCCACGGCATCCTTGTCCCTGACGCTAGTACGCCACACTACACCTTTGGTATGGACTGTCGTATAATCGCTCCCTAGTTTTCTTGACTAGGTTAGAGAACCGCGCTGGCTCAATGAGTAAGACACTGGTTCGCTAACCAGGGGCTTTTCGCGTTGTTTATCGGTTTCCTGGTGTCTAGTCGTTCGGATAGGCGAAAAACAGGGATCCCGTGTACACATTGGAGTGCATGTAAAAGATCCCTTTACCCTTGGAATTTCCCTCATAGCACACTGTATGACATATGCCCGCCTTCATAAGCCCAGTCAGACCAGAATAGTAGGACGTTAAACCCCATTTCATTTCATTTGGACCAGCTTAAACATTACCCTTGACGATAGATATAATCTAAAATGACCACTGAATCTTACAGTTATTTAGATTGAATGAAATTATGACATGTAACCGAGTGAACTAGAATGGTTTTGATTTGATTCCTGTTAGCGGGTTCCTTTATACGGTAAGGCTAATAATAATAAAAAATAAAAATAAAATGAAATGACCCGGGTATTAATGTTATAACCTTTCTATACCACCAAGGTCACTAAAGACGAGCATACCCATACAGTGTTGCTAGGGGGACATCTTGATCGGAAATAAAATGAACTGAGGTTTAACGTCCTACTGCACCGACTACTCTTATATCGTAAAAGATCAATTGACAGTTGGAATTCGATATAAGAGTAGGCCATAGTGCCGCTGTCCGGGCAAAATTTCTCTCACGGCACACTGTATGGCGTATGCCCGTCTTCATTAGCCCAGTAGGACGTTAAACCCCATTTCGTTTCTATCCGGGTGTTGGTCTAGAAAGTTCGCCAAAATTTTCCAGCTTGTTTCCCCTTGGCAGTAAAAAATGTAGGACGAAAAATCTCATTTCATTTCACCATATATAGAACAATGTAGAAGTAAATCGGGAAGTCATTTAACGTTGTTGTTGCCCATTTACATACAGAAATTGCCAACTTCCCGCCGCGTAGTAATATACCACACTCACGTAACGGTAATTATACATAATAGTCCTACACCAGCATTTAAATAAACAATTACAGTTGAATTGTCCAGGCATGTTTTTCACCTGATGTGGAGACGAAGTGTAAATGGTGGATAAAAATGGGGTATCCTAAAATAATAATACGCCATTAATTACCTGACCCGGAGAGGAATCCATGTTGGGGTAATATTCACGAAAACACCATTTCTCTCAAAATCTATTTTAACACCAAATTATATAATTTTAAAAATGGCAGCTGTTTTTATTTTAGGCCAAAGTAAAGACGTTGAACTCCAATTCACGGATAAATGGAAGATAGAGTTTTTAAAATTAGGGTTGCTGAAAAACATTAACTTATTCCATGTGTCATTTTGTCCGGGACATTAATAGTACTGTGGCACCATGCATGATAGAATAAACATCAACATTAACCAAATAAATAATATTCTTGCGTGATGCCAGAAAGATAATCATATTGCGGAACATCAACAATCACTTCACAAAAACGAAACTTGTGTAATTTCTGGGTAGTTT